TAGTGCAATTACTACTGCATCAATATAAACTGTAGAAATGATTATCCTCTTCACCAAATTTATCCAGGGCTTATAATAAATGAATGATTTAATTCAAGAATTTCACTATGTTTGAGAGGAGAAAAGAGATATTTCATTATCCAGTTTCCTTTGAAACACTGAAGGATGCTGATGACCTTGGATATAATGAAAGAGGTTGATGAGTAAAGCGAGGCATAGTAATGTTACCATAGAGTTAAATTCTATGCTATTGTCCTTTCATAATGTCATAAAATCATAGTCAAACATTCCACATTGATAGGGATATGTTGAAAACAGCCAAACAAAAAATATAAAAAAATTTGTTTTCATGTTTTTAAATTGTTTTTATGTACAGATTGAACATGATTTTATCTATTTCCTTTAAAATATTATAGCAGTTAGGAAAAAAGATATTTGGATTGGGAAGAGATTTTTCAAAAACCCTCAAAAAAACATGAGCTCCACTCACCTTATTTGAAATCATTCACCTTGAGACTTGCAGACTTGGAAATAGTTGCCTCACGACTGCAGCAAATGTAATTTTTTAACAGAACTCTGCTATGGAAATAGTTTTGTCTATGGGTGTGTAGAAACAGCAAGAATACTGAGAATTATTCTTATCATCTTGAATTATAGGGTTATCTACAAGATAAGAAATGGAGAAGATAAACAGCCACTGCTTTTGAGGATAAAGAATAACCATGTTTTCCTCTCTCTATACTTAGCTAGCCAGCAGGAGTTAGAATTTTACACCTGGCTTTGGTTAGACATTTGTGGGAATTTTTAAGTTCTGTGGAAACCTATAGCTCTTATAGTAAAGCTAATTTGATAAGAACCAATTAAAGGGAGATCAACTTAATTTGCTGCAAAGATAACTGACTGGTGAAGCAAATAGAAGAAATTTCTCATCTGCACTGGAAAAATTAGTAAGCAACTCTGAGAAATAAAAGAACATGAGAATTATTATATTATGTGAAAGTATATGGAAGAAGTTTTCTTTATTGGTACCAAAATGTGTGAGTATATTATGGTGATTGCTAGTTCAAGAGGAATCAATGGATGACCTAAAGGATTATTTATTTTCATATACTTCTTGTTTCATGGCAGAATTTCCTACATTTCAACAGAAGTGGTATATTTCCACATTCATATATTAAATTTCTAGTGTTTAGGTGACTTTTTTCTAGAAAAGGGGAAGTTGGAGAAAATATATTCATGTTATCAAAAAGTGCAAGGAAAAATAGATATGTAAATACAAAAAATTAATATATTTTTAATGTTTTTATTTATTTTTGAGATGGGGGGCAGATAGACAGGGAAGACACAGGATCCAAAGCAAGCCACAGGCTCCGAGGGTCTGAGCTCTCAGCACAGAGCCTGACTCAGGATTCCAAATCACCAAACTCTTGAACCATGAGTTCATGACCTAATCTGAAAAAAAAAAAAAGTATTTATTTATTTAAAAATTTTTAATGTTAGTTTACTTTTGAGAGAGAGAGAGAGAAAGAGAGCGAGACAAAGAGTGAGTGGGGGAGGGGCAGAGAGGAAGACACAGAATCCAAAGCAGGCTCCAGGCTCTACACAGTCAGTAGAGAGCCTGACTCAGGGCTCAAACTCAGGAGCCATGCGATCATGATCTGAGCTGAAGTCAGCTGCTTAACCGACTGAGCCAAGGCACCCGCAAAAAAAAAAAAAAAAAAAAGTACTTAAATGCATGGTTATAAATCAATGTGGTGGATTCCATGGTAAGAACATAGAAAAGTGGCACATATTAAAATATCAATAATGTCTGTCCAAATACATTGAAAGAAGAGATGAAATCCAAAAGGAAATTTGAATGGTAAATTCTAATATTTTACACAAACAATGGGGAAATTACTATCTCAAATAGAGGACAAAACATTTTCAAAACTTACTGACATACTAGGTAAAAATAGTGTTCCATGATCTGGGAACAATTATCAATTAAATTGTTATGGTGGACAAGATGAGAGACAGATAAGGCCATATCCAGGTTATGGATACAAAGTAAGCTGAGTTTTTAATTTGGCTGTTAACAAAAGTAAAAGTAGTTGGGAACTGGTCATGTTTGTGAGGTAAGAGGAAACTTTATTTTATACCTGTAAAGTTGCATTATAGCTGTATATATAGGAATGAGCTTAATTACCTTGATTTATAGCTCAAAGAGACAGAACACTTAATCTTTTCTACAAAATTCTACAAAGGCTCAAAAACCTGGGTCTATCAGCAGCAAAAATGAAAAACACCCATTAAAAGTGTTTGAAGAGTTCTGCTTTTTAGACAGCAGATAATACAAAATATTTTTCTTCAAAAGCTCAAAAGAAACCTTTAAATTAAGTGGTATTTATATAAAATATTTTTCAAGACAGCAGTAAAAGTAAAGACAAACTAAAATAAATACTTATGTTTATAGTAACCTGCTACAAAAAATAAATTTAAAAAATGATTGCTTTGCTTGAGAATTCATTTTCATATGGCACAAATACAAATTTATTGCTACCAATGCAAATATTTTCAGATGTTTACAGAATGATGTGGCTTTCAAAGTTTACTTTAGTCATAAAATATCCCAGGACATAAATCCAATGCTTACTATAAGACTGGAGAGAAGTGAAAGTGTTTTATAAAATATGAATTTCTTAGCACAGTGTTTTCTTTCTTGTTATGATATTCATTGCTTTCTAAAATATTCTTGGGAAGGACATACAAACTTTCCTTTTGTAATAAACTAAATAAACTTGTGTACAAATTTTATCTGTTTTGGATAAGGGTGCTTATCAGTGTTTTAACTGGGGGGATGGCAGATAATGGATTCCATTTAAACCCCTATAGCCCTGATTTTCAAACATGGAAAGTAGATTGGGTCATCAAATCATTCCTTCCTGTTCACCTTTATATATCCTTTTAATGTAAAATAAAGGAGAGAAAGGAGATGTTTCCAGAGTAAAAGCAAAACAGAATTCTATCATATTTTAATACTTAATATCACATAGAAAGGAAGTAAGAGGAAAGGAAAGAGGAAAGAAGGAAGGAAGGAAGGAAAGAAGGAAAAGGCAGGGAGGCAGGGAGAGAGAGGGAGAGAGAATTAGTAGTTATGCTGAAACATTACTTATGGACATGGTATAATAAATTCCAAACAGAAGGGTTTTAAATTAGTGTTTTTTTATTATTACAAAATGTTCACTATGGGCAGATTTATATATGTGAGATCTACAAATATACAGTAAATAAATGTAACAGTAAGAGTTTATAGATAGCATCTGAAGTTTGAAGGCCAACTGTTTATTGGAGTCAAAGAAGGCTAAGAAATCAAGAAGAACCTTAAGTAATAGATTATATAAGAGGAGGGGGAAAAAAAAGGAACGTGTACTGGTGTCAACACTCTCCTGATATTTCTGATGGCAAAAAACATCTATATATTTCCAATTTTTATCTAATGAAACTTAGTAATTTACATAAACTTATGAGGAGGAAAAGAAAGGAAGGAAAGCTGAAAGACTACTTGAAGATTAGATTAATGGTGATGAATAGGAACGGTTTAACTGTAGTAGCAGCATTGATAAAATCAATTAAACCTGTCAGATAATAGTAAATGAATATTCTTTGAAAATGAAGAGTAGCAGCAATATGACCTAGACTAGCTCTTTAATCCAGGGTAGCCAAACTTTCTCCTATGAACACAGGGACAGTATCTGTCCTTTACTTATATCCTAAAGGTGTGAACAGGTTTCCATGATGAAATTATTTTTTAATAAGCAATGAAAACAATGACAACAGCAATAACGGCCACAACAGCAACAATAAATGTCAGTACTGGAAAGCCCTGTGCTTCATGCTGATATGTATCCATAAAGAAAAAAGGTGTGATGCCTGTCTTAGATTCTTCTGGCTTTTTAAAAATTAATTAACTAATTAGTTACTTTTTATTGTGTATTTGAGGTTTATACTTTTTGGTGACATTCTGACTTAAGATTTTTAAAAAGTATTCTTTTTATGTATTTATCTTAATTTTTTACTGTTTATTTTTTAGAGAGAGAGACAGAGACAGAGACAGAGAGAGACAGAGTGTGAGTGGGTAGAGAGAGGGGGAGACACAGAATCAGAATCAGAAGTAGGCTCCAGGCTCCAAGGTGAGCCCAGCATGGAGCTCAAACCACAAACTGTGAGATCAAGACCTAAGCCCAGATCAAGCTTCCAATGCTTAACCGACTGAGCCATCTAGGTGCCCTTAAAAAGTATTCTTAATAAAATTTTGAAATGTTGGTTAATTAGACATTATATATATTGGATATATTGGATAGGTGACCATTAAATAAAATTTTTGTGGTGTTTTGTTTGTTTTTGTTCACCAATTAGCCACATTTATTCCAATTTGAATGAACTCTGAGTTTAGTAAAAAAATGAAATAAATCAGAAAGTTAATAAGAAAACAATTTGAATTAAATTGACATTGTAAAAGTATCATTTTTGAAGAGGATTCTCTAGATGTTTGGGTGAAACATCTCTCTCTCTATAGAGAGAGAGAGAGAGAGATCATATAGATGTATATAAATGCATACATACATTGTCTGAACTTTTAAACCTGCCATTGTGTTTTTTCTGTTGCAGATTTATATTTATTTTTGGAAAAGGTAAAGCGATTAAAGGGAAATTTATATATCTACTCAATTACTCATATATGTGAAACAATTTAATTCCTTTCCATTTTCTCAGCATGTTCAAACTGCTTCCTTTGACTTACATGACCAAAACCATAACTGTTTACTTCCTGTATCTGTGACTACTATTTTTTGGCTCTTTGTCCTCTTCCACAACACGTGCTGTCCCAACCATGCTCAGTGCTTGAAAGGGCATCTCCTTGGACACCTCTCTACTGATTTTGCACTCTACTTTGCCAAATATATCCATTTCCATGGTTTCAAATATTATTTCTTGTATTTTTCCCCGGCCTTACCTTTATGTAATCCTTGTCTCCTTTCTCATTAACACCGTCATCCTGTGGGTTTCTCTCAGTTTACAACTAGAATGTGACAGAGAACACAGACACAAACACATAATTAACATGGGATAAACTGTTTAGATCAACATACTGCATGCTTTAGTATCAGCTTTACAGGAATGACAGTTAAAATTATGCTCCAGGTTATATATCATTTGGAATATTTCTTAGAATTTACTTTAAAATATTTTTTTAAATTTAAATTCCAGTTAGTTAACATGTACTGTAATATTAATTTCAGTAGTACAATTTTGTGATAAATCACTTAAATACAACACCCAGTGCTCATCACAAGTGCCCTTCTAAATATTTCATTTTGGATGTTCTTTTATTTAAAAACATGGTCTGCATATATTTAATATATGTTCAACCATTAATAGGTTAAAAAATCTTGGCATGTAAATTTGATTCTTTGAGTTTTTGCAAAGACAAATGTTTTATAAAATTACTAATGTGGATATTGAATAACTGAAAAGACTGGAAATCTTTGATTAAAGAAGGCAGACCCTCACATGATAGCATGAATGGCTAAAGTTAGACATATGATTTTTGTATGCATGTTTTATAATCCACATTGTACTGTAGGTTATATTGCATATCTCCTGATGGGGATTGTTTTTCTTAATTCAGGATTTTATATGGATTTCCCCATCTACAATGTCTAGATTTATTTATACCTAGATGTGTGTTAACATCTAAACAAAAGAAAAGGATTCATTGTTACATCACTAAAATTATTATTACTATCATTTGTTGAAAAGCTACAAACATCATCAACTCTAATAAGATCCTTCTCACTAAAATCCATCAAGTTGGATGTTACTCAACATTGAGAGTGGTTGGAAAACATCCAAAAGCCTTCTGCAATGTGTTCATTTTGGAAAATATCACTGTTACTAAGACAAATGAACAAAGTGGATAGCAATATATGTGGAAATAAAACAGTATTTTCTAGGATAAATAAATACAAATAACTACATGTTTTTTTCTTTTTTTTTTATCAAGCCCTATAACTGATAAGGGATAGAAGCAAGAAATGACAGTACAAAAAGCATTTGCTTAGAACATTTGTATCTGGGATAATAAAGATGACTCAAACACAGCCTGTACCCATGTCTCTAAACTATTGGTTTATGGAAATCTACTTCAGTAATGGTTTTGGCTAAATTTGCTTTACAGAAACCCATTTCTCATTTTCTTGAATATTCTGTTGGTTAAGCTGAATGATTTGATGCTACCAGAATATTTAACATTTAGGTCATACAATATAGACTGGGTGTGTACAGTTTTGTTTTGCTTTGCTTTGCTTTGTTTTGTTTTGTTTCGTTTTTTAGGGTGTGAAAGAGAGAGCATGAGCAGGGAGAGAGGGGCAGAAGGAGAAAGAATCCCTACCAGGCTTCATGCTGAGTGGGAGCTCAATCCCACAACCCTGTGATCATGACCTGAGCCGAAATCAAGAGTTGAATGCACAACTGACTGAGTCACTCAGGAGCCCCATATACAAATTTTTAATCGAATATTAGACTCCAGGTGTTTTCTGGAAGATACACACACACACACACACACACACATTCTGTATAAATATATATATATATATATATTCTTTCTCTCTCTCAGTATATATATATATATACATACATACATATGTGTATGTATATATATGTATGTATGTATATATATACTCCATAAATAAGTAGCAGAAATGTTACAGGCTGGAATGTGATACTTTGTGAATTTTACTGGATGTTTTTAATCATAAAATTTATTCAGGTGAAACATCCTATCATTATGGTTCATTATATTCTCTAAAATATAGGTAAATAACTTACAATGACATTTCAAAACTTGTCAAAGTTAAACCTTGCCAAAACTCAAACCAGACCTGTTAGTAGTTTTCCTAGTCTAAGTTACCATTCTATACCTCAAACAGAAGAACACTCATAGGGCCTTTTGAAGTCTAAAATTAAATACCATAAAGCTAAAGAGGATGACTTGGGGAAAAGGTGGGATCAGGAGAAGGGTGTATGCAAGACTTCTGATAAGCAAAGGCCTAGAGGAAAAACACAAGGATTGTTTAGACACTGAAAAGAGGCTATGGTAAATCAAGTAAATGATTCTACTAAATCCAAAGACATCATTGTCCTCAAGCCATTTGGTCCTGTTTGAACAACTGACTAAAGCCAACCTGCCTTGTTTCCTTGTAGTCTTAACAATTTTCAGATAATTGTTTCCTGCACCATTATGTCAGACTAAAGATAGACTTACAGCCTAGCATTAAAACAAACCATCTGTTGCAAAAAATAATGCTACTCTCCCCACCTGAACCCCCCATAAATAGAGTTAAGATCTGTAATCACAGAATCTTGGAAGTTGTTTTTATTTCTAATATAAGAGATGAAAAGAATAAAAATGTCTTCTTAAATGAAATGAATATAAACCTATAAAAATGAATGAATTATATGATAGAACTTAAAGTTTGCCGATATTTCTAATTAATATATTGGTTCCTTGAAGACACTATTCAACAGCATCTAGATAGAATTTCTAGCAATGACTAATAAGGTATGAGTGATTCAGTTCACTAGTCTACTTAGTTCTAATTCCTCAGGAATATGCTTAATCTTGGTATAAATTACATCCACTGGAAAACAGTAAGATATAGGAGGTTGTCTAACTTTCTGACCTAGAAAACCAACATGAATTTACCATGGGGAAAATTGATTCACACATATGATAAAAACCATTTACAAGAATCCATAAACCTCAAGTTTTTTAAAAAAGGAACTGACTTAAAGCATTCGCATTAATTCCCATGTCTGAAATTTTCCCCCAGTCTTCCCTCTCGGTAATAATAACCTGACTTAAAAAAAAATTTTTGCTAGTGTTTATTTATTTTTGAGAGAGAAAGAATGAGCAAAGAAGGGGCAGAGAAAGAGGGAGACAGAGAATCCAAAGCAAGCTCTGTATTGCCAGCCCAAAGCCTGATGTGGGGCTTGAACCCACAATAGTGAGATCGTGACCTGAGATGAAGTTGGCTACTTAACCAACTGAACCACCCAGGTGCCCCATAACTTGACTATTTTAATATAAATCCAAACAATACAGGCACTTTCAAAATGATTTTAAAATTATTTACTCTGGATAAATAAATGAGTCCCAGTACAGTTCAGAAGTTGTCCATTTGTCTCTCCTTAAGTTTTCCCTAGGTCCCATTTTTTAATAACTAGAGCATAATAATCCTGCATAACAGTGCACAAGAAGAGAGTTGTCATGGACTTCACTAATAAGAGAAGGGGATACTATGCACAGTGTTTCTTCTCTGCTTTCCCTCTGGGTCCTGATGTTGACATAGCATCTCTCCATACCTTTCCACATGGGATTTGGTGGGACCTGTGCATCTTCAAAAGATTCCTCACTCTCTTCAGATGTGAAATGTGTTGCTCATCATCTGGAAGTTAACCAGATGGCTAAATTTGCATCAGTCTCTTTGCCACCTCCACGTTGACCTGTTGGTAAGGCATTACCCTTTCCCTACCGGTATATCTGTTTACAGCTTGGAAGAACATATCTCTATGTATTCAATTTGCAAAATACTCACTGAGAGAACATATTATGCCAGATATTGCTTTAGGCTTGGGATATAGTATAGAACCCAAGATAGAGAAGCTACTGCTCATATGCAGGATTTCAGTAAGGGAGAATGAAAATAAGGAAAATTACATAAATATAAAAGACTGGTGAGTGCTATGCTGAGTGATAAGTACAACGATTTCATATAGGCAGACAGGGTAGATGTTTACATGGAGAGGCCAGAGCATAATTTCTAAAACTGAAACATACATGCTAGTGAGGATCTACTCATCTAACATTCAGGGACAGCATTCCAAGCATGAGGAATAACCACTGCAAAAATAAAAAATGTGGAAGTAGCTCGGCAATGTTGAGGAAACAAGAGATGTCCAAGGTGGCTGAAGCATGACCAGTGTATCAAAAATCTCTGATGCCCTTCCTCCTTTTTTGTCTGCATGAGCCATCATTTATTGCAGACATAGTTGTGGCAGCCAGCTTTGTCCAGGTGTAACTCTGCCTCAGCTTTCTGCCTTAGCCTTAGCACCAATTAAAACTGATTTTGGGGGCACCTGAATGGCTCAGTCGGTTGAGTGTCTGACTTCGGTTCAGGTCATGATCTCACAGTTCGTGGGTTTGAGTCCCACATTAGGCTCTGTGCTGACAGCTCAGAGCTTGGAGCCTGCTTCAGATTCTGTGTCTCCCTCTCTCTCTGACCCTCCCCTGCTCACGCTGTCTCTCTCTCTCTCAGAAATAAATAAAAACATTAAAAAAAAATAAAACTGATTTTCTTGTTTTCTCCAAGGGTATTCTGGTGAAATGGTATTGGGCCCTGCAGGAAACCTTGGCCTTTCCACATATGAATGTGCCAACAAAAGGCTGAGACCCAGTGGGTGGAGACTGAGAATTGTATTCATTCCTCTATTTCTACTCAGGAGAGAGAGAGAGAGAGAGAGAGAGAGAGAGAGAGAGAGAGATTCCCTTCTTTCCACTAAGCTTTATCTTATTACAGACATGATGAATAAGAATTGATTCTGTGGTTTGTAAATATTTCTCAGGCCATTTTCTTTTACACTTGATGCTGTGTCCTTTAAATAATTATTTAACAATATAATGAGTTTTTCTTAAGGTTTCAAGGTTGGGGTATCAGGGGGAATGAAAAAACAACATCCCCTCCCGTATTTCAAGTTAGTTGCATGCCTCAGATTAATAATCTACCTACCTTCTTGTCAGAATGAGGTAGAGGCAGAGATGGCAGATAAACTATACAATGAGAAATAGGTAAATGTAGATATTCCTGTTACTACCATGTTTTAGAGTTCCTCTTACCCTCAGGGACTGGCATCTCAGCACACAGGGCACATGAGGAGCGGTGGTTGAAGTGGAGGACATTATTAGGAGGAGTGAATGTGTGAAAGAATCCAGATAGCTGGAGGATTCTGTGAGGTGATGAA